AAGCTAACTACATCTTTCTTGTGAATGTCGGCGTGCCAACTCGTGGCCGAGGTTGATCGGGCTAGTGAGTGGATATGGTGGTGGTGTTGAACGCGCTGCTGACTTTTGCATTTAAGGACTTTGTTTGAGAAAGGAATACTCTTGGCCTAGGGTTATAGAACCTGAAGACAATGTTACTTCATTCACTGCAAAGTGCGCCAAATCAGTATTAGGTTGTAGGAGCAAAGATACTCAAATGAAATTAGTATCTTTATTGTGAAAGTTGTTCAGTTATCTGAATGCCGAACTCTGAAATGTATTTGCGAGTAACCGATCATAGCTAGAACACCTCACTTCTCTAGGAAAGCTAATGAAGTGACGTCTTTCGGCAAAAGAATCAAGGACCCTTCACCTGCTAAGACATAGATAACCAACTAAACCAAAAATAGTGTTGTTCAACCGAGTTGAAGGTACTCCCATGATTAGTTCAAAGGTACGGTGTTAGTTGTCAACCTAGTGATGTTCAACCAAACTGAAGTGCTCAAGGAGGGATTAGGATATTAGTATTTTTCTCAGAGTTATGAGAATGATTTCACGTAGAACATCTAAATTCTTTATTGAGTGGAATGGGGCTTTCTACATTGTAAACCCTCTTATATTATAGGGGTGGGTCCTGAGACTCCTGACAAAGCCATATATTTCCACATCAAATAATCCCAAATGAGAGACCACGCGATGATGCCAAAGTGATGCTTTCTAATCAAAAGACTCCATTTTCCAACCTTGTTGTCCAGATGCATCCATGCAACCATAAAGCGAATTGCAATTCAATTGCGATTCTACCTCTGAACCATTATCCTACGCTTTTTCATTCTTATTTCCTCTTTATCCCATGGAGGATTGACATTAACCAAAGCGTGGCTAATTTCCTTAAGTTGTACCCCACCTTTTTATCTTCGTATGCAATGGCGGAGCTAGGAATTTTTTACCGGATGGGCTAGCTTAAAAATTTAAATCTTTATAAATAAAGAAACTTGATACTGTATTTTTCAGAGTATCAGCTAGCTTAAAAAAAATCACAAGGTGAGCCAAAAATTTTGTAATTAAACAAATCCAAACTTGTACATGTATATAAATAAAGAAACTTGATACTGTATTTTTCCTAGTATCAACTAGCTTAAAAAAAATCACAAGGTGAGCCAAAAAAATTTGTAATTAAACAAATCCAAACTTGTACATGTATAAGAAACGATGAGAAAAATGATGTAAGAAAAAAAGATGATTTGTAAACTGTATTATATAATTTTATATAGTTAAACCTAGAGAATTCGGATTAGTGACTAAATATTTAGTGGGCTACATTCGAAAATCAATTAAAATTAAATGTAAAATTTTATTTCTCACCGAAAGCTACCTAGGCTACAACCCAGGGCAACCCTTAACTTGGCTCCGTCAGTGTTCGTATGAGCGGTTGAGTTTGAATTATTAATAATAAAATATTTGAAATTTGTTAGAATAAAGAGTGTTGTTGGACATAAAAAGTTAAATTTAGTAGTTAAAATAGTTTTTTACAATGTTCCCTTATTTTTTGTTTGAGTACATTGATATTTTTATACTAAGAGGAAGATGAGTTCGGCTGAGCCACATAATGGGTAATCTAATTTGATATTGAAGTCGTCATCCACGAGATTCAAACCTAAGACCTCTCACTTCCAAGTGAAGAGAAATACCACCAGACCGTAGTACCGAGTGACTACAATGTTCTCTTATTAGTTTAACATAAATTTAAAACTTTTCTTGAAGATGTTTTAAAGCTTGTAATGTTTGATATATTCTACCTCAATATCTTTTCCATAATAATAATTTGATAAAAAAAAAGGTTATTTTTTTGTTGGAATAAAATAAAAAGTTCGAAACAGTTTGATGCTTTGTGATTGTGCTGAGAAAGATTTGCATTAAAATATATGTCAGGTTAGAAAACAATGCTTTGTGTTAGTAGTCTTCTTCCTGCGCTCCTCTTTTTATCTTCTGCTTCGCAGCTTCGGACTCTCCAGTCTCCACCTTCCCATCCGATGGACTTCCTAAATTCCTCTCAAACCATTACACACCATGTGGTCGCGCTGCCGATACCCAGCCGCGGCCACATCAACCCAATGATGTGCCTCTGCAACTCCATCGCTTCCCTCAACGCCGCCGATGGCAACATCAACCTCCTTGTAACCTTAATAGTCACCGAGGAGTGGCTTGGATTCATAGGGTCGGATCCGAAACCCGACAACGTAGTCTTCGCCACCATTCCCAACGTCATCCCCTCCGAGATCGGCCGAGGCGCCGACTCACCCAGTTTCTACGAAACTGTCTTGAGAAAAATAAGAGCCCCGGTCGAAGACCTCCTCGACCGGCTCGAGCCGCCTGTTACTGCCTTGATTGCGGACACACACATTGTGTGGTCGATTGAGATAGGGAACCTGAGGAATATTCCGGTGGGTTCTCTTTGGACCATGTCCGCTTCAGTCTACTCCGTCTTTCATTTCTTCGATCTCCTCGTCCAGCATCGACATTTCCCGGTAAATTTGGCAGGTACGTAAATAACAGCACTAACTCAGTAAGTTTTTAAATTTTTACCTCCACTTTTTGTTGTTGCTAAATGTCATATTCAGTCATGTTGTATTTCAATTTAAGCATTGTGGCTTATTTTTGTTGTGAATTAAAACCAAAACTAACCAAATTTGCATTTTTAGGTCTGTTTGATAACTATTTAGTTTTTAGTTTTTAATATTCACGTTTTTTGCTTAACATATGAGAAAAGTAGTGATAAAAAAGGGAGGTGAGAAAGGAGGGAAAAACAAATCGATTAAAACATATTGTTTGGTCTGATTTTTTTTTTTTTTAATTTGGATAATCTATTGAAAAAATCAAATCGAATCGGGTTGCCAATACGACTGAATTTAACGTTTGTTGCAAACCATATGTCCTATTTATAACAGTTGGTCTTTTCTTTTTGAGAACTTTAACGAAATGTTTCTGGTACTGTTCACTTTAACAAAAAAAACCATTTTTTTACACTAAAAAATCAAAATTGGTACTATTCATTTTACCCTTTATTTTGTCTTTATCGTTAAAACTCAAAGTTTTCAAATATTTTTTTATTAGTTTTCCTTTTATTTTTTTTTGTAGAAAGAGAAAAAGAGCACGTAGACTACATCCCTGGACTTCCTTCTACACGTGTGGCAGACCTTCCCACGTGTTTCTATGGCAAAGGGATTAACATCTTGGATCGAATACTAGAAGCAATTTCAAGTCTGCCCAAAGCACGTTGGCTTCTGCTGCCTTCGGTGTACGAGCTTGAAGCCCAAGTTATCGACGCTTTGAGAGAGAAACTTTCGATTCCTGTTTACCACATTGGGCCCTTAATACCTCATTTCAAGGTGAAGGCCCAAATAAGGCCCATTGAGGCCCAACCTAAGCCCAACGAGTCCCAATATTTTGATTGGTTAGATAAGCAACCAAGAGGGTCGGTTTTGTACATATCGCAAGGGAGTTTGCATTCAGCTTCCAAAGCCCAAATGGAGGAAATCGCACGTGGCTTGAGAGAGAGTGGGGTCCGATTCTTTTGGGCGGCACGTGCTGAAGCTTTGGAGTTGCAAGAGAAGTGTGGTGAGATGGGGATTGTGGTGCCTTGGTGTGACCAATTGAGAGTGTTGTGTCACTCTTGTATTGGAGGGTTTTGGTCTCATTGTGGTTGGAATTCGACCTCGGAAGCTGTTTTTGCCGGCCTTCCGATGTTGACCTTTCCTATTTATTGGGACCAAGTGCCCAATAGTAAGATGATTGTGGAGGATTGGAAGATAGGGTGGAAGGTGAAGAAGGGTATGGGAGAAGAAGAAATTTTGGTGACTAGAGAGGAAATTAAAGGAATTGTTAAAAGGTTTATGGATTTGGAAAGTGAGGAAGGGAAAGACATTAGGAGGCAAGCAAGAGAGATTCGGGATATTTGTCGGCAAGCAGTTCGAAAGGGTGGCTCGTCTTATTCCAATATTGAAGCATTTATAAGTGACCTATCAAGCTATGAGAAGCATTGTTAATGACAATATAGTCTAGTGACCTTACTTTCTACTTTGTTGCAAGAGATAATAAATTCACATCGTGAATTAAAAAGAATAAAGGAAGAAGTATTAAGGCAATTGTTGCTGTACATTATTTGGTTTCATTGCCCACCACAAATATGTATGAGACAAATATGTTCACATCTCTTTCACATGACCTAAATCCCAACAACTTTACAATCTCTGTATTTATTCTTGATGCTTCTTTCATGGTCTCTGAACTTTAGTCCAATTAAAGCTTTGGTCTCTGGACTAAAATTTGTGTGTATTAGTTGCTGAACTTGTTATAATATGGAGCAATGGTTATTTTGGCTAGTTATGTTATAACTTAAACCAAAATAATGGGTTTAAAGCTGCAAAATATTGACAGTGTTAATATAGTTAGCTAAATGGACAATTGTTTCACATTATAACAAGTTCAGGGATCAATGCTTATGGATTCGTAGTTCTAAATTAAGCTATAATTCATGGTTCATTGGTCCAATTATCTTATATATATACAGACCCTTTATGCAAAGGGATTCTCATTTTTTGAAAAAAAAAATGAAGATTAGGTGTGGGGCTCACTCTACATCGAATTTTAACGATCCGAATCATCTATTTTGTAAGTCTCGATTCATAGATCATCATTTCAAAAATTCAATTCAATCCGAAACCATTTGCCTATTTAATTATCAAGATCAAATTTCATTGTTTTTTATATAACAAAGTATTCGTTTATTTCTTTGAACTCAATTAGATGTCTTAAATATTTCTGATTTGATTAATATTTTGCAAAGATGATCTATGAGGTACAACTTGAAAAATAAATGAATCGGATCGTTAAAGTTTGATATGATGTGGAACCCACAACCAATCTCTATTTTTATTAAAAAAATAGGGATCCCTACCGGCTTCCTATTATATATGTGCAACACCAACCCTTGCACTAGCACACGTCAATATTTCAATCTTTCCCCAGGAGAGAATGAGTACAGTGAAACTTGAACGAAAGCCAGTCTGCCACGTCATGGCTCTGCCCTATCCCGGCAGAGGCCATATCAATCCCATGATGAATTTCTGCAAATTACTATCTTCAAAAAAACCCGACATTCTCATCACCTTCGTCATCACCGAAGAGTGGCAAGGATTCATCGGCTCCGACGCGAAACCGGACAACATCCGATTCTCCACGCTACCAAACGTGATACCCTCGGAGCTCGTTCGAGCAACCAACTTTCCGGGATTTGTGGAAGCTGTGAACACCGAGCTGGAGGGCCCATTCGACCAGCTGCTGCTTGAACGGGATCTCCAGCAACCGGTGAATGTCATAGTTGCTGACCCGTTCCTAGTTTGGGCTGTGAGGGTGGGGAACGGAAGGAACATTCCGGTGGCTTCGTTTTGGCCTATGTCGGCGTCGGTATTTACGGTGTTCCATCACTTTGAGCTACTCAAGCAAAACGGCCACTTCCCTGTTGATGTGTTAGGTGAGTGAATTATCATCAAAGACTATATTGCTTGTTATGAAACGTACATTCACATGTGGGTGTCAACTTCTGGATCCCACGTGCATTAATGGTTGAAATGACTCATGCTTGCCCTAACATCGATTTTTCTACTTAATTTGTCGGATAAAAAGAAACATTGAATTTGTTACAAAAACACGTGAGATAAATGTGAAAATGACTACTTGACAGGTGTCAAGTACAAATCACTTTTACACACTTTTGTAATGTTCATGTAAATTCATTTTTAATTCGTCATGTCTAATTTTTTATGTTGTATTTCTTCTTTGTTATACTTAAATCTCTTAAAATTTGAAAATTTCTCATCCAAACATACCTTAAGTCATAGTGTCTTACCGTTATAAGAAACAAATTAGAAGCATAGTGTGATACTTGTCGGAAATAAATGAACAACAAAATGAGTCATGCGTGAAAAAAAGGTTACATGTCAGTGTATCACATAACTATTATGAATGAATTAGATTCATGCTATAGACGAACATATATGTAGTGTTGAAATTTATTTTGGGTTTAATGATTATTTGTGCCTAATGTACAATAGAGCGTGGAGATGAGGTAATAGACTACATTCCAGGAATTTCCACCACACGAATAGCAGATCTTCCAACAATTCTCTATGGAAACGATCGCCAACTCCTGCATAGAGCCATGGAAACTATTTCAAGCATGTACAAAGCACAATATATCTTATCCACTTCAATCTATGAGCTTGAGTCCCAAGTGTTCGATAACTTAAAAGCCAAACTTCCGATACCTGTCTATCCTATTGGTCCAACCATTCCATACTTTCAGCTTTCAGAAAGCTCTTCCATTCTTCACGATGGCCTCAGTTATTTGCATTGGCTAGATTCTCAACCTAAAACCTCAGTCTTGTACATCTCCATGGGAAGCTTCCTCTCGGTATCACAAACCCAAATGGACGAACTTGTTTTTGGGGTGAGGGACAGTGGTGTTAGGTTTTTGTGGGTGGCTCGTGGAGATGCGTCTAGGTTGAAAGAAAGTGTTGGTGATGTGGGTTTGGTGGTACCTTGGTGTGACCAATTGAGGGTGTTCTGTCACGATTCGATTGGCGGGTTCTGGTCACATTGTGGGTGGAGTTCCACTATTGAAGCTGTTTATGCTGGTCTTCCTGTTCTTACTTGCCCTATATTCTGGGACCAAGTCCCCAATAGTAGGCAAATTGTGGACGACTGGAAGATTGGATATAGAGTGAAGAAGAATGAGGGGGCTGAACATCTTGTGACTAGAGAGGAAATTGCACAACTTGTGAGGAGATTTATGGATTTGGAAAGCAATGAGGGAAAAAAGATGAGGAAAAGAGCAAAACAACTTCAGAAGACTTGTCAAGAAGCAATTGCTAAAGGTGGCTCATCGGACACTAACCTTGAAGCTTTTATCAAAGATATTTCCCAAGGGCATCATCATTGAGTTCATGATTTGTATTATTGGGTGTGACAATGTAATTCTATTGAAAGACCATCGTTTGTTTGAAAACAAATCAGGTTGAGTTTTATGTATTAATTTTTATTCTTCATCAATCCTCGTGATGGAATCAAAGATATATGTTCACCATTCAAATAATAAAAAATAGTATCTTAACAAAATATGTCTTCTTACATAATTTTTAGGGAACTTTAACGAAAAGCACCCGGTACTGTTCACTTTAACGAAAAACCACATTTTTACACTAAAAAGTCAATCCTGGTACTATTCACTTTACCCTTTATTTTGTTCTTATCATTAAAACTCAAAGTTTTCAAGCCCTTTTCATTAGTTTTCCTTAATTTTTACCCATCTCATTTTGTACAACTAATATCACTAACATTCAAATTATCTACTTACATGATTTTACCCGTCTTATTTTGTACAATTAGTGTTAGTGACATTCAAATGATTTATATTTACTACTTAGAGAGCAATTACAACTAGAAGAAGATTTTTTTTTTTTTTTGAACAGCACTAGAAGAAGATTTAAGACAGAAGAAACATGGAAGAAAAGAGATGAAAAAACCCAAGAACATGAGAGTTGAATTTCCCCAAATGGAAGAAAGGAGCTCCATGGGTACTTAAATTACCTGGGAATCAGTGAGCCCTACTCTGCCCGATTTGGTGCAAGGCAAGTCTTGTCCGCGCTGCTCCCTCCGGGCAAAGCATTTATTTTTATGTTTTTTCTTAGATGACAAAAGCCCACGTGCATAAGCCGAAAGGAGGAGAAACTGTATTTCTATCAGCTTTTGCCAAAAGTAAGAGAGTTCAAATTGAACTTGGCCAAACAGCTGCATAGTTGAATTTGGAAAATTAAAGTTTCACGCAATCATGTTTGAAAAAAAAAAAAAAAAACTAAAATATCTCTTTGTAAATAATAATCGCCATGACAATGACTTAAAACGAGTTGAATTGAACAAAATTATTCGAGAACTGTTATTAGCATGTTAAAATCTCTTTTTTTTTTGTCTCAAAAGTGTTTTATTTTTTTTTTTCTAATCATAAAAAATTTGAAATGTAAAACGAGATTGTTGGAGTGCCAACGAAAATTTTCACTTATTATTTAGAGCAAATATTAACTTCTATTGCCCTACCCTTGCCACTGCCTTGGCAAAATGGGCGAAAGTGCTCTGGTCAAGGGCAGGCCCGACATTCTGTTTTTCTCTTTGGTGGCTAAGCTATTTTTAAACTATTTCTTGTTTTGACAAGAGCGATAATCTTGTATTTTATTAATAAATTCAAACAAATACAGAGGTGTCAATTGAGTATAATGCTATGATGACCAAGAAAATAATCTAAAGTGAATTTGCTCAAACAGACAACTATAGTAAACTCTTATACGACTGCAACATCATGAAAATTACAACGCCTCCTATACTAATTTGTCACAAAACCATACTCATTGTGTCAAAACTTGTGGGTCCCTAGACAAGTCTGAAAAGCATGAAATATTTCGAATGAAATCTCCCCTCAGCCGTACACAGTTAAGGGCATCTCGAATGGTTTAGGCAAATAAAGTTGCCTATTCATTTGCTTTATGAAAAACTTTAGTCACGACTCCAATAAATTAGGCAAATCAAATAGATATCATATATATATATTATTTGTTTAAACTTGGCAAAACTGTAAATAACACAACCTAATTGAAGGACCACATAGAGTATTTTATTGTAAAATAGAATGTGAGGTAATATTGCCTACTTTGAGAGAGTAGGCAAATTTACCTACGAAGTTTTTGCCTCGTAGCTCATCAAATAAAAAAGGGTTTGACTAGTAATTTGCCTACGCTAAGATTTTTGTCTACTCAGGTTTTATGTTGAAGCAAGTTTTTGCCTATATAACTTTTTAAACACTCTTCTCAATTTTCGATTGTTATATCGAATGTATTGAAAAAAATCAAAGGACAAAAATTTACAAATTGTATGTGAGAAGTAAAAATAGGTGCCCGGTTATACTTTGCATCTTAGCATGGTCCACAGAAAACGAAAAATACTTGGCATCCACTGCAAAAATTTGAAAATATATCTGGTCTACTTATAGGATTTTTACCCGCCTTATTTTGTACAGCTAATATCATTGACATTCAAATGATCTTGTGAACATGGAAATTCCTGCGATTAACGAGACAAGAACACGTGTACAAAATAATATTTGTATTAAGGATTTAGGGGTTACAATCTCTTCTACAAATTTAGTCTTTGATTCGATCTTCGTAATGTGTAAATTTGTGGATTGTGTTGTTGATCCAAGGGTCGTCGGGGCTTGATCCTGGAGGAACAGTTGTGCGGATTTGTTGATGTCGTTGACCCAAAGGGACGTCGGGGCTTGATTTAGGGATGAACGGATGATGAATGATGAACACTTTCTTCAAGGGTCGTCGGGGCTTGATCTTGAATTGGTGGAAGTGCTTCAAGGGCCGTCGGGGCTTGATCTTGAATTGGGAAAGTTCTTCAAGGGCCATCGGGGCTTGATCTTGAAGGAGGGTTGGAAGTTTCTTCAATGGGCCCTTTGGGCTTGATCTTGAAGGTTAATGGATGAACGGATCTTCAAGGGCTTTTGGGCTTCATCTTGAAGAACTGTTGATGAACGGACCTTCAAGGGCTTTTGGGGCTTGATCTTGATGAACATTTGATGGATGGATCTTCAAGGGCTTGATCCTGAAGTTCCTTGCACGCACCTTTATTTTTGTTTTTTTTCTTTCTATTTTTCTCTCTTGTTCTTATTATCAAGTAAAATTATTACAAGATTTTTAGTTAAAATTCAAAATTTTGAAAGTTTTTTCATTTGTTTTCCTTATTATATACTAGTATATGGTCACACACAAAGCATGTGTGTGTGAAATTTTTCTTTTTTTTTGTTTTGTTTTTGTTTTTAGCGTAGAAGGAGAGAAACAAAAGAGTGAGAATGTGGGAGACGAGTGAGAGCTTCATTTTATTTTTTATTTTTTATTTTTTTATTGGATATATGTTAAAATCACATGTAGATGAGGTTTTGAAAAAAATAACAAAATTTTGGTCATGTGAATTACATTTCTATTCATATTTTCTATTCATGTTCAGTTTTAATTAAAGGATTAAATTAGTAATTTTATAGGATTTGGTTAACAATTAAGGTTCTATCAATATATAATTAGGAAAACTAATGAAATTGGCTTGAAAATTTTGAGTTTTAATGATAAGGATAAAATAAAGGGTAAAGTGAATAGTACCATGATTGACTTTTTAGTGTAAAAATGTGATTTTTCGTTAAAGTAAACAGTACTGGATGCTATTCGTTAAAGTTCTCATAATAATTTAGATTATATATAAGAAGGGATAGCAATAGCTTCAAAGCTTTAATCCTCGGTCTTCAATCTTCAAGGGAGAAATGGGCACAGCGGAAGTTGAGACAATCAGTCTGCCACGTGGTGGCTTTGCCTTATCCGGGAAGAGGCCACATCAACCCCATGATGAACCTCTGCAAGCTACTATCTTCAAAAAACCCTCTACTCCTCATCACCTTCGTCGTCACCGAAGAGTGGCACGGGTTCATCGAATCCGACCCAAAACCCGACAACATCCGATTAGTCACCATACCCAACGTCATACCCTCCGAGCACGGTCGCGCGAAAGATTTTGCCGCGTTTTTGGAAGCTGTGTGGGCCAAGGTGGAAGCTCCGGTTGAGCAGCTTCTGGATGGGCTCGAGCCGCCGGTGACCGCCATAGTTGCTGATACCTTCCTTGTTTGGGCACTGAGGGTCGGGAATAGAAGGAATATTCCCGTGGCTCCGCTTTGGACCCCGTCGCCGACGATGTTCTCAATGTTGCATCACTTTGAGCTGTTCAAAGAAAATGGCCACTTCCCCCTTGATGTCTCTGGTGCGTGTACACTTACCGCGATCATTATTATTGGAGTATTTCCTAAGTTACTTTAAAGTATCTTATAATTCAAAATTTTTAATTATTAAATATTTAATTAAAATTTTTATTGAATGATCATTATTCTAATTGAGTAAAATTAAAAGATCATTGCTATAATTTTTTTTTTAAAGTAACACTTGAGGGTATTTTTGTCCTTCCGTCTACTTACATATTATATATAAGATGGGTGCCAAGGGCTTCACATCTTCAATCTCCAATCTTCAGTCTTCAAACTTCATACAAAAGAGAAATGGGCACAATGAAGATTGAGCCAATCACCGTCTGCCACCTAGTGGCTTTACCCTATCCAGGAAGAGGGCACATCAACCCCATGATGAACCTCTGCAAGCAACTATCTTCAAAAAACCCTCAACTCTTCATCACCTTCGTCGTCACCGAAGAGTGGCGCGGGTTCATCGAATCAAACCCGAAACCCGAAAACATCCGATTAGCCACCATACCCAACGTCATACCCTCCGAGCACGGTCGCGCGAAAGACTTTGCCGCGTTTGTGGAAGCTGTGTGGACCAAGCTGGAAGCTCCGGTTGAGCAGCTTATGGATGGGCTCGAGCAGCCGGTGACCGCCATAGTTGCTGATACCTTCCTTGTTTGGGCTTTGAGGATCGGGAATAGGAGGAATATTCCGGTGGCTTCGCTTTGGACCCAGTCGCCGACGATGTTCTCAGTGTTGCATCACTTTGAGCTGTTCAAAGAAAATGGCCACTTCGCTCTTGATGTCTCAGGTGCATATCCACTTTACCACGATCATTATTGGACTATTTTCTAGTATGCTCCTATGAGTCCTATCCTTCCAAATTTTCAACTATTAAATATTTAATCAAATATTTTTAATAAAAAAAATATAAGAAGTAGAAATTTCTCTATTTTAAAATGTATCAAAGCCTTGGGTAATAATAAAAAGTTGACTAATGTATTTTTCAAATTGGATTTCATATTCAAATGAATATCGGAATCATAAGAAAGTAGGTTTCTTTAGCTATGGGACTATCAAAAGAAAATTTGGATAGGAGCTTATACGATTTCATCCTTTCAAAACCGGAAGTGAAAGTTTTCTCTCGTCGGACTTAACTAATTACACCAACAAAGATATAGAGATGCGTTCCCACTTTAAAAGTCTATAAAAACACAAATATTTTCTAAAGTTACTTTAGAGTATCTTATAATTCAAAATTTTTAATTTTTAAATATTTAAATAAATTCTTTTTAATATAAAAATATAGAAACTAAAATTGACCATGAACTCTGGAATATCTAAATATTCCAGAGCGCCATAAATATGTTACCAAACGGATAATTAGATGGTTGAATTTTTTTATTTCCAATTTCCAAACGGAAGATACAAAATTAAAATAATTGTAAATATTGCTGGTCTTATATTGTGCTCATCAAACATCTTGACTCTCATCTCAGTCTTGTAAGTTGTCACACTCCAATTATTCTCGGTCGAGCAATGCTCAGAAAAATAATTTTGTAGACTAAATTTTGTAAACTAAATAACATGAAAATTGATAATTAAATTATTACTTAAGTCTTGAGTAACGTGTTTGATCTTTATTAGTGACACATCATTTAGTTTGCAAATTTAATATAAATTTTTTGTCTATATAGTGTTACCCATATTTTTCCTTCCAAGTTGGTTATTTGTCGCTTGCCACCTGCCAAAAGGATAGAGCATGTGGCGTATTATTGGGATGTTAGAGACTTTTGAGATGAATTTGCTTTATTAACAATTTTACACTGAAAAAGAAAAGGCTCAAAATTGACCAAGACCTGCCACTTAATACTACAATTTAGTAGTATTTATCTTCACTTGTAAGTAAAAAGTCTTAGATTCGATTCTCACCAAAAGAAAATGTGAACCATATTATCGTTAATCTATTGTGAGGCTAAGCTCACCCCCCCTCCCCTCAGTGAAGATAACATCGTTTGTTCAACAACAAAATAAAAGAAAAAAAAATTGACCCTGACCTTATCAATTTAATGCCTTGATCTTTAACTTATAAGTGTGAATATGCTTGATCATGGTTACGGGTAGGGTGCAATTCCTACCTCCTCCGAACCCGAAAAAGATGAATAATAGTTCGCCACCAATTGTCTCCCTTTTAAAAAAATACATTAGATTCTTCTTTAGCAGAAGACAATATATTATATTTGTTCATATACTTAAGACACTTATGTCTAATAAGTGCACAACATAAAATTGGTAAGGTAACCAGAAATAATTATATCAGTTTGAATAAATTGCTTAAAGCCTTTCTCTAATTTATAAAGAAGTTGATGCATTTGCGAGCTTAAGACATTCTTATGAACAATTTGTATTTGGTTAATTTAGTAATCCTCAACTGTAATATAGCATGATATCTTTTCTTATATGTATACCGAGGCTTCTTGGTGCAATGTTCTTAAATTTTATGGTTTTGTAGAAGAAAAAGCATTTGTTCTTGGTTGATATACAATATAATAATGTTGTACGACGTAAATTATCATGTGAAAATTACAGAGCGTGGAGATGAGATAGTAGAATACATTCCTGGAGTCAGCACCACATGCATTGCAGATCTACCCGCAATCTTTTTCACAGACGATCCAAAAGTCCTCCACAAGGCAATTGAAGGAATTTCTGAAGCAGAGAAAGCAAAGTATCTTTTGTTCACTTCAGTCTACGAGCTTGATCCGCAAGTCTTTGAAGCCCTCAAAGCGAAGTTTGTTTTCCCTATCTACCCTATTGGCCCATCCATACCTCACTTTGAACTTTCAAAAACTCTTCCCACTAATCAAAACGACATCGATTATCTGCATTGGCTAGATTCTCAACCCAAAAAGTCAGTTTTGTACATCTCCATGGGAAGTTTCCTCTCGGTTTCGAAATCCCAAATGGATGAAATTGTTGCTGGCGTGAAAAGTAGTGGTGTTAGGGTTTTTTGGGTGGCTCGTGTAGATGCTTGTGAGTTGAGAGATTTTGTTGGTGATTTGGGTTTGGTGGTGCCTTGGTGTGACCAATTGAGGGTGTTGTGTCACGATTCAATTGGTGGGTTTTGGTCACATTGTGGTTGGAATTCAACTTTGGAAGCAGTTTATGCTGGTCTTCCAATTCTTACTTTCCCTATATTTTGGGATCAAATTCCAAACGGTAAGCAGATTGTGGAAGATTGGAGGATTGGATACCGGGTGAAGAAGAAGGCGGGGGTCGAACTTCTTGTGAGTAGCGAGGAAATTGGAGAAATTGTGAAGAAGTTTATGGATGTGGAAAGCGAGGAAGGGAAAGATTTGAGGGAAAGAGCTAAACAACTTCAAGAGATTTGTCGAGGTGCAATTGCTAATGGTGGCTCATCTGATAGAAACCTTGATGCTTTTATTAAGGATATTTCACAAGGATATAATTGCCATTAAGCTGATGAATGTGGTAGCTCTTAGACACGATTGCTTGCGTTTCAATACAATTGTTATATTCAACTTATAACTAGAGGTATCAATATGAGTGAGGAGTTTATTTTCTTTTTGCAGTTTGGTTGTGTTATATGTACTTAAAAATTTCTTGGGTAAATGTCTATTGATAGTCGAATTTGCTTCAAATCGTCTCAGCACTAAAGGATTCTACCATTATTATGTCTGCCATTGGCTATATTGTTGAAGACTTCAATGACCTGCTGAGGAGAATCATTTTTATACGCTTTTGTAATGCTGACGGAGGCAATGGGGGTATTTTTGTCTTTCAAGGAGTTTCATAAGCAGCTCCCTAGTCTATTTGCATATATATAGGTATCGTCTAAGTTTATTTTAGAAAAAAAATCATTTTATAAATTTATTTAATGAAAAAAAAAACTTAAAATTTTAATGAAAATAACAAAAGTTCAATATATTAATACAAGAAAAAAAATGACGCGCTTGCGTCCATCACACACACTATTTCTAAAACTGAACAGTATTACACTATTTTTATAACTGAACGGTACTATATTATTTCTGAAACTGAACACTATTTCTGAAAATTAAACGCTAATTATTTCAGAAACTACATAGGTACTACACTAATTTCTAAAGCAGAACAAGGACACTATTGCTGAAACTGAATACAAGTTGGCATGCCTTTATCTGACACTATTTTGGAAGAAGTCTTCTTGGCCTGAAGTTCCTTACACGCACCTTTATTTTGGTTTTTTTTTTCTTTCTATTTTTCTATCTTGTCCTTATTAACGGACAAGGATCCTCTCCAAATCCTCTTTGTGGGAACCGAGGATCAATCAATCGTATCCGTTTATCGTACATCATGCGATCAGTTTTTGTTAAATACTATTTATATTCAATTTTAAATTAAAATTTAAGATTATTTTTAACCGCACGATGTACGATGAATAGACACGATTGATTGATCCTCCGGATCCCCACAAAGAGGATCTGAAGAGGAACCTCTTCCCTTATTATTAAATAAAATTATTACAAAATTTTTAGTTAAAATTCACAATTTTGAAGCTTTTTTCATTATTTTTCCTTATTATATACTAGTATATGGCCGCACACAAAGTGTGTGTGTGTGTGTGTGAGTGTTTTTTTTTAAGTGAAGGAGAGAGGAAGAGAGTGAGCGAGGAGAGAGAGCTTTATTTTTTATTTTATTATTTTAATTTTTAATTTTTATTAGAGATATATTAGAATCACATGTATGTGAGGCTTTAAAAAAAACAAAATTTTGGTTGTGGAAGATTACATTTCTGCCCATATTTCTTATTCATGTTCAATTTTAATTAGAGAATTAAATTAGTAATTTTATAAATTTTTGATTAACAATGAGAGTTCTATTAATATGTAATTTAGATTATATAGGAGAAGGGATAGCAATAGCTTCAAAGCTTCAAAGTTTTCAAACAAGGGAGAAATAGGCACAGCGAAAGTTGAGACAATCACAGTCTACCACGTGGTGGCTTTGCCTTATCTGGGAAGAGGCCACATCAACCCCATGATGAACCTCTGCAAGCTACTATCTTCAAAAAAACCCTCAACTCCTCATCACCTTCGTCATCACCGAAGAGTGGCACGGGTTCATTGAATCCGA